GTGCGTAATATGTGAATATGTGTATGAATTTGTATGTGCACGCGCAGTTGAGTGAAACGCTTACCAGCAAAGAAAATGGAATGGACGAAGCAAGTTCAAATAGTGATTAAGGCGTTGGAAAAGGCATGAACCCATTTCTTCTTTTGTGTTGGCATAATGGTTGCGTAAGAGGAAAACGTTTTAGACTACTTCTGTTCACTTCGGAATAGGCATGAAAAAGGCATGAATCCACTCCTTCCTGAGTCATGTAGCAGGGAAAACAGAATCAGCAAGCCGAGTTCGAGTTTCGGCTCTGACTGCTTCTGATCACTTCGCAATCATAAACGTGGAAAAGGCATGAATCCACTTCTCCCCGAGCGGTGTCGTAACGTTGACTAGCAAGGAAAGTGGAATCAGTACATAGAGTTCGAATATCGTCACTGAATGCTTATGTTCAATTTCTAACAATGATCTTTGGAAAAGGCATGAACCCAGTTTTTCTAAGCATATTTAAATCACACACGCGCACACACACACACTTGTTTATATATATATATATACATATATATATATATATATAATATTTTTTGTTTAAAAATATTATTCCTTCGCTACATAAGAGTTCTCATGTTTCAAAAACGAGAGCCGAAACCATCCAAATAATTATAATATAAGCTCTACTTCTGTATGGAGGACTGTCTTCTTAAAACTAAAAGCAAAAATACTAAGAAACTCCGGATTATGCACAAATCTGAATAGCTATTTAAAGATCTGAATAGCTATTATAACATGACTTCGTTATCAAGCTTTTTGAATTTTCCTATACTTGTATTTTGATTGGTCATTCTAGCATTTGTAACAGCGTTTTTCCTTTGTGAAGGATCGTTAATTAATTTGAAACTATTATTTATTTTATTTTACATTCAAAATTATCACTTGATAAGACACCGGAGTTGTTGAAACAAAATGGCTGTTTTTGTAGTGATTTTATAACATATTTATGTTATAATTCTTTTAAATAAATAATTATATATATATATATATATATATATAGAGAGAGAGAGAGAGGGGGGGATAAAAGGAGAGGATAAGAAATCAATAAAAGAAAGAGAAACAGAAAGAGAAAAGAAAAGCATAACAAAATCATCCTTTTTTTGTATTAACCTGCATATTTTGTTATTTTTTATTTTCCTTTTATTGAAATTTTGATATATTTCTTTCCTTTCCTTTTATGGAAATTTTTATATATTTTTTCTTTTCCTTTTATGTAAATTCTTTTTATGACTTCCTAAATTTTTTAAAATGTAAAAAAAAAAGTGATGCTTCATAAGTAGCATTTTTAAATAAAATCGTTTATAACCCATCTTTGTTCAACACCTAACGAAATGCTTAGGTTATGTTTCAGCCTCGAAACAAATAAGCATCTTTATAGTGATTACTTGTTTGTTCGTATATAACAACTTACAATATATTTTGTTTAAACTACTATCTGTAGACCAATGGGAAAAAATGGCTTTGGATAGAAGTAAGTGTCGGAAACTAATTCACGAAAGCATTGAGTCCTTTGAGAATAGCCGTATGGCAGTACACAGCCTACAAACGTCTGATTCGTAAAGGCGAACAGGGTCCAGCACCGGGTCCACAAATTCACCACGTTAATTGTGACATATGCGGAAAATTGTGCCTATCTTTTGCCGGCTTCAAAAGCCATTTGCGTAAATGTGCAAAACCTAGGGTGCACGCGAATAATGTCACTGTAAACAAAACTGATCGTGTATGCCAATTCTGTGGCATAATTTGGCGCAGTTTGCCTGGCCTGAAGAGTCACCTGCGAACATATAGAATTTGAAGGGAGTGGGAGGGGTGGGAGGACATGAAATAAAGGAGGTGGTCACACTCGAAACCGAGAGGACAGCCACGATATATATATATATATATATATATATATATATATATATATATATATATATATGTATATATATATATATATATATATATATAGAGAGAGAGAGAGAGAGATTTAGTTTATGCAAACTTAGATAATCCGTATGGGTAGACCCGAGGAGGATGATATCCAGAGAGCTCGATGTAAAATTCAGAGTAGATATATTTGAATAAAAGACAGACCACGTTAAGATTCCATGTAATAAGCTATTTCACCATAACCCCTTTAACAGGGTTCTGGATCATCGGACTTTACTTCCAAAAGCTGAAATGAAAAATGAAAAGAAATTCACACGTTTTTGACGGACCTCATCAAGTATACGTAAAATTAACGAAGTGAGGGAGTGAGGTGGGAGAGAGGATATGAATATATCATATGTATCATTTCAGTTTCCTACATGGAATCTTAACGTGGTCTGTCTTTTATTCAAACAATATATATATATATATATATATATATATATATATATATATATATATATATATATATATATGATAAAATATAGTTTTAAGGTATGCTATGTTTTGGGGTTAATCTGCTCAAACTCAGAATAGAGCGTATGTAAATTTAAATATAAAAAGTGGACCCAGAGGCGACAGTCTGTTTCATGCTAAACGCTATCGTCAAGCCATGGGAATATATATATATATATATATATATATATATATATATATATATATATATGTGTGTGTGTGTGTGTGTGTGTGTGTGTGTGTGTGTGTGTGTGTGTGTGTGTGTGTGCGTGTATGATTTACAGCTTTTCAACCTCTTGCAGGTCATTTAATAACAGAATTTTTTTTATTAATTTTTGGGAGATTATAATTATTTACTGTTATTAATTTGACTAATTAACCCATAGCTGAAGGGAGAAGTGGATTCATACATTTCCCAATGGTATTAGCGCGTAAGTGAATATAACGGACCCGTCTGCAGTGGGAACCCGACACACAGATTATCAGTTCCTAGTCGTTATCCATAATAAACCACCGGGACATCTAATCTTAAACCCCATGGTACCCCAAGTACCCAGTGTTGGAAAAATGAAAAACTGCCATTAATTATACAATCAATGAAGCATTTGATAATAAATTAAATACGAAAGCAATCGACTTAGATATCTCAGTACTGTTGCGCAAGGTACTGAACAAGCTCGACGTTGCTTAACTTCAGTGAACGTACGACAATGTTTCAACGACATAGCTGCTGTTATCTAAGATGGGTGAATGCAATGCAGCATGAAATTTCAACCCTATCATTTGTGATTAATTGATTGATTCATTCATTTTCTACGGTTTATCAACCCTTTACAAGTTATTTAAAGCCAGAAAATCTGTTTACATTGTAAGAATTCTTTTCTTTGGGTGGGGGAGAGATAATAATGATTTGGGGATGTAATTTCTGCTTATTAACGATAGCTGAGGGGAGATTTTTTTTTAATATGAAGGAGCAAAATCAGCTTCCGAACGAAGTCCTGACTGTACAAATCGCTGGTAGTTTCCATTCTCTTATATGGATGTAAAACATTGACACTGTTGGAAGAAGCAAAGAGAAGGATCGAAGCGTTTGAGAATAAATGCCCGAGAAAACTCCTTGGCTTTTTTATTGGGAACAAAAAAAAACAATGAGTTTGGATGGAAAAGAGTTGAATGTTTTGTGGGATACTAGAAACCTTTTCTCGCCACTGTCAAACGGCAACAAAAAAAATGGCGTGGTTTGAACACATTACAAGGCGCAACAGCCTGTGCAAAGACCATCATGCAAGGCGCCGTTGAAGGTGGACGTAGGAGGGGACGCAAACGCAAAAACAGTATGGACAATCTTAAAAGAATTGACAGGTATGACTGTACCAGAATTGCTGATGGCTGCCGTTGATAGACCGTTGGGGAAAAGTATTAGTGTGGCCTCTGCATTCGGATCCGCCCTACGATTACAAAAGTGAAAGGGATGATGATGATGATGATGATGATGATGATGATGATGATGATGATGATGATGTGGAGGGAAGGAGGAGGAGGGAGGAGGAGGAGGAGGAGGGGGAGGAGGAGAAGTAAAGTAGAGTTGGATTCATACCTTCCCAAGGGTATTTGCGTAAAAGTCAATATAATGAACTGAGCTGTTACGTGACATCCGTCCTTCTTTACGGCAGTGAATGCCGAACGATTTCCTCAAGAGACTCGGGGCGACAGGAATATGGTTCTACAGACGGATGCTGAGGATTTTCGTGGACCGAGCATGTGAGCAACGATGAGGTCTTGGAGAGGATGAAGACAAGAAAGAGGCTCATGCTTAACATCAGGAAGAGGCAGTTGAAGTTTCTGGAACACATAACGAGGAAGGATGGCCTGGAGAATCTGATACTCACGGGTCGAATAAAGGGAAAGAGAGACAAGGGAAAACAACGCGTGACATACCTGTCGGGCTTAAGCAAGTGGATGACAGACGTGGTCTGGAGGAAGAAGCAGAGGGAAGGAACTTGTTGAGAACTGCAAGGAATAGAGGGAGGTGGAGAGCCATGATCGCCTAAGTCCTGAAAAGAATGAACCCGACGAGGATGGCAACTTGGCCCTCCAATTTCCACTTCCGGCTCCTTGTCCATGATATACGAACAACAAATCCAAGCTTAGAGCAATTGGTATTCTGAAGCGGACACCCCTTTATGTTCTGACCAGGAAAGACGTTGCTTAACTTCGACGATCTTACGAGATTTATCTTTGTTGAATAAAATTTCGAATTCTTGTTCTTATTTTTCATAAATAATTTTGTTATAATTTTACGTGTGGAACTTGGCGTGTTCATTTGTATTCGAGAATTTTCATTTGCTATTGGCTTGAAGAGTAGATTTATGGATATCTCCATGACAAAATGCGCGGGTCATTAGACGTGAATGCGCAGAGTTTAATGAATAAAAGTGGACGTCTGTTTCAAATACACATTATCCAGTAACGTTTGAAATGATAAAAAAAATATCGGATTAAAAATAAACCGATTGAACCTTTAGTAATATGTGTGTGTGTGTGTGTGTGTGTGTGTGTGTGTGTGTGTGTGTGTGTGTGTGTGTGAAGAGATGAGACTGCAAATGGAAAATTATAATGTAAGTCCGACTTGTATATTTTATTTCTTCGTTTACTTTTTTACCCTCCTCTATTTTCAGTTTCTCGCTTTCGTCATTTTTGTAGAAGTTTCTTTCTTGCTTGCTTCTTCTCTTTCTTTCTTTCTTGCTTCTTCTCTTTCTTTCTTTCTTGCTTCTTCTCTTCTCTTTCTTTCTTTCTTTCTTTCTTCCTTTCTTCTTCGTGTTTTTTTTGGGTTTTTTTTTGCTTTCTTTCTTATTTTCTTTCTTTTGTTTTTCTATCCTTTATTATTTCTTTATTTTCTTTCTTGCTTGCTTTTTTTCTTTCCCGTATTTTTCTTTCATTCTTTCTTTGGATTTTTCTTATTTTCTTTTCTTGGCCTTCTATTTTTCTTTCTTTCTTTTTTCTTGTTTTCTTTCTTATTTTCTCTCTTTTTCTTTCTTCCTTTCTTTCTTAATTTTTGGCTTGTTTTCTTTATTTGTTATTTTTTCTTTCTTTCTTTCTTGTTTTCTTGTTTTCTTTCTCGTATTTTTCTTTCATTCTTTCTTTGGATTTTTCTTTTTTTTTTCTTCTTTCTTATTTTCTTTTCTTGGCCTTCTATTTTTCTTTCTTTCTTTTTTCTTCTTTTCTTTCTTATTTTCTCTTTTTTTTCTTTCTTTCTTAATTTTTTCCTTGTTTTCTTTCTTTTCTTTCTTTCTTTCTTTCTTTCTTTCTTTCTTTCTTTCTTTCTTTCTTGTTTCTATTTTTCTCCCTTTCTGTCCTTCTTTCTTACCAGAAAATAAGTCGGAATCTTTCCTCATTTCGAAAACGAGTCTATTTTTTTTCTTTTTCGTCTTAAGAATTAGTTTGGAAAAATATCCCTAACAACGTTAGACATAATTTCTTTCTTAATGGAATGATAAAACTCATTATTATATGAAATACAGTCCATTTTATTTTTAAAAACTACTTTTTTTTTTATAATTTGAAAGCACTGATCTTCGACTTTTAATATTTTTTGTTTCATTGTTCCTATAGACTGCAATTCATTCCTTCGGTATTTCCTTATCTTTTTTTACTTTCCTTTCCTCTTCCTAATTATTGTGTGCATATATACATTAACGAAAAGGCATTTTTCATTTATGAATTTTAAATATATTTTCCCTTCTATTTGCTTTATTTCAAAGTCATGAACGGCATGTTCGGCACGATCTTGGAATACAATGTAACAATTTTCCAAGACCGACTTTCACCTCGGGAATCTAAACTAGTACATTGATTTGAAAAAGAAAATCGATAAAATCGAGAATAATTCAGATAACGTTTATCTATTTCAGCACATTTTTTTCCGAGAGTGTATGTCGCGGGTCGTCTCTTAGTACCGTTTGTTTATAAACAATCCGCGTTTTTTTAATCTAATTAATACGAGAAATATGTTCTTTTTTTTCTTTGTTTTATTACAAAAAGTGACACAAAAATCCGAAGACATGTATAAACAGCGAAAGATGTCTTAAAGCAACGTTTTAATGGATCGAAAAATGTCCCCAGAAGCAATGAAAAGTCGGTTGGACTGTTATGTAATGACTAATGTCCCATATGAATATTTATACAATATTTTCTGTTGTATTTTGTTCCAATTTCCAAATACGATGTCAATAAACTATACGATGTTTTGCTTTGTTTTTGCACAAGTACTTTCTACCGTCTCGATCCTTATCAAGAACTGGGTGTTTTCAGTGTGATAGGAAATTTTTCATTGGCTACATGCTTGCTTTTTTGTGGGTGAGGTTTCTGTTAATTACTCTGAAATGAGCTACAAAAAGGTTACACGGAGCTAAACCCCACATAAAAAATTGCATTTTATGTTCATACGTATTCATTTTATTTTCTGCACATGTTAAGTATTGTGTACATACTTCAAGATACCATATCCTGAAAGTGAAAGTAAAAGTGAAAGATATTACATTTAATAGATGTTGTTTATTTTGTATAATAATAGTGGTTTCAATATTTCCTTACAGTGAGTGCTGTGTAATATAACTAATATTTCTTTCATGTTGATAGTTGTATTTTTAATTTTTGCTGTGTTAGTCAATGTTACAGTTTTGTGTGTATATATATATATATAACTAGTGAGTTAGCTCAAATGACTTGACTCACTTTATAGTCCACCAATAGAAGGTTAACCAATCAGAAGACGTAGAACATTCAATCCGTCGTGTATAAAAGCGGCCATTTTTGTTCACTCTACCCGAATGTCCAGTCCAGCTTGTCAGGCGAAGAGAAACAGAAGGAAGAACTACGCTCTGCTACTTTTACCAAAATATCCACTGCTAACCTGAACAACGCTTTCCTACTGTCTTCGAAATATTCACTGCTAACCTTTGGATTCTATATTCAAAGACGACCGTCAAGATGAATAACTGTCAACACGTACACGAATTGCACTAAGTTTTGACAAGAGACAAGTTAACCCATGAGAGAATGTGGTGTACGTGGTTTGTCTGAAAAGTAACGGGACTGGTGTCACAAACACTTTCTTTCAATTGCAAACAATAAGCTACATGCCCCACCACCAGACACACACACTTCAAAGTGATCCGCCTCCAGTTTAATGCGCTTTCCCATCCTTCACTGTCACGGTTCTTTGCACTGCTGGAAGGATTCTTCTTGGATATTCCTCAGATCCATCGTTATGGTCTTCTTGATAGCCTCAACGTCTTCAAAACGGATCACCTTTGAGCATGGGAAAAAGAATAATGTCACTTGGAGCATGATCAGGTGAATAGGTAGGTGTTTTCCAGTACGGCGATGTTCTTCTTCACCAGAAACTGCCAGATGCTCAGGGCGTTGAGAAGCAGTCCCGATTTTTCCTGCCACCACCCTTGTCTTTTCTCGCGCACTGGGCGAAGCAAACGCCGTAGACAGACATTTTCAGACACACATCGTATGTGTAGCCCATGTAAGAATTAAGTTTCTTTTTATCTTATTGATATTGCATAACCGTGAGAATTTATCAACAACATTGTAAAATCATGATTTATCTGTCTATATCTCTGAGACGAGGTATTACGATTACTTACATTATTTACATAATTCGGACTGTTATCCTCATCTTCATTGCCACATTCACAACGTTTCGGCCTTCTTCAGGTGATTGCAATTTCGAACCGAACCTTTTACTTCGTCCACCGGCGTAGATCGTTCTCATTCCACGTGACATGCCTCTTCCGGATGTCAAAGACACATGGCCCAGTGGATAAAGGCGTTGGCTAGATCCAGTGACTAGACCCAAAGAGTTGTGAGTTCAATCCCAGACTACAGCAGAACTTGGAGAGTTGAGTTTAAAGGGAAATAACTGGGACATCCGGAAGAGGAATGGTATGTGCAACTAAAACAATCTAACTGGGTGGTCGAAATAAAGGATTCGCTTCGAAATTCCAATCAACTGAAGAAGACCGGAACATAGAACGACTGAAATGTGAATATGGCAATGAAGATGAGGATAACAGTCCGAATGATGTAAATAATCTCAGTAAGTCCTGATTTATTGGCAATAATTAGGTCACTTGATTTTTTAAAACCTTTTATTACAATTCTTAGGAATTTTTAATTGATATCTTATCCGTAAATCATTGTAACATCAGAAAGACTACTAGTGTTCTACACGCTGACAAATTTTCCTACCTTTAAGCGAATTCATTATAGTTACTTTTTCTGCCTCTTTTTGAAAGGAATACGTTTGGATTTTGTTGATATCAATATTATTAGTACCAGACAGGATTAACTTTTCCAAAATGGCCACCATCAAGTGGATTTAGAGGTCCTCCGGCATAGAATTCAGTCAAATTAACTCATTTTTTGTCATATTTCGGCTGCTAAACCCGCCACCTTCGAATAACGATAAATTAAAATGTCCGCGATAATTTTATTTTCTGATTTTAGTGTACGTTCCTATACATTGAAACAATTTAAATCTGCAAAATTGTTGTCGAGAAAATATTTAAAACGTAATCACTTCGTTTGATGTTTCCAACTGATTATTAAACTTAAAAGTATGTAATGTTATCGGTTCTGACTTCGATCTTGACATGACTCAATTTCTCACCGATATAACGTGGCTTCGCTTTGTTTTTTCTACAAATATTTTTGTGGCAATTGTTCTGATAATCTCTTCTCCTTAGTTACTTCGACGGAATGGATTTAAGCATGCTCCTAAATTGGCAACTGCTAGATACTACCGGATGCCCTTTACTAATGCAGTAGAACCTCTGACAACCGGACTAAAAGGGCCTTCCGGATATGAGGAATTGATTAAAAAGTCCGGATATGAGGGGTTATATTTAGATTAAAATAAAAGAACTGAAATCAGATTTAACATTTAAAATAAGCTAATGGTAAGTGAATTATAAGGGAATTGATTTTAAGGAAAGGAAATAAATTATGTAATGTTAATGAAAATTCATCAAATTACGTATGCCACGTAATGTAACGAGGAATTTTTAATCGCTGTTGCGTGATGATTCTTTCTCTTCTAATGTCATTCTTAACTTCTTCCGTATTTCGTTTTGCTTTTGTATTTTTTTAAACGAAAGACACTTTTTAACCCTGCGCGTTATTGCAATCGTCATAGCTGAATGCCGACTTTCCTTCCATAAAACTGATAACCTTTTCAATAGCTTTTTCAATTTCAATTCTGGTTTCAACACAATCATTTTTTTCTTTTTTATTGTGACAGTTTGAACGCTGGAGCCTAGTTTCTTTGGAAGATTTTATATCATATAATGTTGACTTTCCTATGTTGAACTCAGCCATTAGTTACAATTGCGTAAGTTTGTCGAAGGCCTTCGTTTGCCGTAGCCGGACTCCCGTAATGCGCATTACGAGGCATGTGCGTAACTCCTGTAGAATCGTTAAATGCCAAAGTTCGTCGAATGCCTTCGTTTGCCGTAGCCGGACGTGCGTCGGGCCTGGACAGTGGTCATGGGACCACTAGCCCGAAGTAGTGTCTAAGTTCGTCGGTGGACTTCGTTTACCGTAGCCGGACTCCCGTAATGCGCCTTAGAAGTGTCTAGTCTGTTTAAAATTTCCACTTTTTGTGATAACTTCAAAATTGTTCTTTTCCTCTCATTCCCATCATCTTATGCACCAATACAAGCCATTAGGGTGAAATAAGCAATTATCCAAAGTAAATTTACTGAAAAACAGAAATTTCAAATCAGTTACATATCACCCAAATAGTTAAAATATACACATCAAAATCATATCCGGATATGCGGGATTCCGGATATGAGGCACTCCGGATATGAGAGATTGCGGATATGAGAGATTCTGGTTATGAAGGATTCTACTGTAGTTTCTTTTCTCGAACTGCTTGTCTGTGTAAAACCTTTCCAATTTCTTGCTTCCCTGTCGCCTAAATATATTCAAATACCTTCTTGAATCCTGTTACTTTTTTCCTTTACTCTCCTTTTTGGCTCACTTGTCCTCACAAATGTATTCTCATTCACTTTCACACTCTATAAACCTCTGTATCCTCGTGGCATAATCACCTTGCTTGAGGGAAACTATGAAACAGAAGTCGCTTTTTGCACCATGTACTAACCACCAAATATCATTTTGCGACTTAACCTTCCATTTATTTAAAAGAAAATCATGTTGGGTGTGTTGGATCCTATTTTATTTTTACACTGAAATTCCCCCCCAAATTGGGTTAAATATAAAGTTTAAACCCTTTTCCGGAATTTGGGATCATCGCTATAGACCATGTTTTGCAGATCTAAACCCTTAGTATTAATGTTATCCTTAAGTACAGATAACATTAATACATTTTCGTAACTGAGGTGAAAATCGTTTGATTGTTTCTTTTATGGCTTATCAACCTT